TTCCCTAGCATTATATAGAGTAGCTCCCTTCTAGGACATGGTATGCAGCTTCTTCACGGCTTATTTTATCTTATATTAGCAACTTATCCAAAGCAAGCTATTTTAGCCTTCTATTGAAAGCAGCTGAATAAACCAGGATGCTGCTCAGCTTCATGGGTTTGTGCATCTGACTGTTTTGTGATCTGGGGCTGATGTTGGGGAGATCTGTGGGGAAGCATTTGAAATAGCTCAAACACACAAAGATGCCAACTACAACTTGTAGTTGAGATAAATGTATAATTATGGCATAAATTATTAAAACTAACCTTAAAAAAACAACTTTGTCCCCACCAGCTTGTGCATGTTAGCATTTCTGTAGCAGGACAATTAGTTCTGTGTAGGGAGATCCTGCCATTTGAACTGATCAGGGATTCCAGAACATCTGGTGAGGAAGGAGATTTCACACCTGTCCAAGAAGCTTGCCTGTACACTCTGAAAGGAGACCTTACACTTGAGCAGTAGGTTTAGTTTGTGTATTGGAAATTTTACACCCTGGCAAGACTGGTACAAGACTTACTATTTAATATTAAAAATATTAGAAATTCATCTGTCAAACTGTGTGATAAACTTTTGTGATAACTTGGTAAGTCTCTATCTGCAGGCCCCGGGCCTGAGGAATGTGTTTGAAATTAACTGCTGCTTTCAGAGAATTCAGTACTCAGATTTATTCTAGTGGTACTTGTTAACCAGTGCTTATAGTTTTACTTTTTTACTGCTAGGTGTTCAAGTACTGGAAGAAGTATGGGATCTTTCACAGAGAATGCCTCCTAAAGTATCTATACAGTCATGCTCTTCTGGGAAGAGCATGGAAAGAGAGGTGCTTCTTGGAGACTGTCTATTCCAGTCACTCTTGGGAGGTGTTAATTTTTAAAATTTCCTTTCCTATCTCTACAGTGAAGCAGGGTATGGGGTTGCTTTGTTTTTTGGGTTTTGATTTGGTTTTTTTCTTGTCCTTTTCAGATCCAAAAATGATCATAACCAGAATTATTTTTTTTATTACAGTTTTTTTCCCTAAACCAGGCAGGTTAGGAAAGAACACAGAAAAGTGTTCTCCTCACCCATTGCATTGTATGGGTGGGCTACATTTTGGATTTTGTCAGTGCCTCATTTGCATGTTTGCTAGGATGCAAAAACAACAGTGACAAAAGCAGCCTCACATTGTAACACATTGTCTTGTAGTTTTAAATAGACATCAGATTACCAGTCACCAGAAATTATTAGAAAAGTACTTTCACAGCAAAACCCCTTTCACCAAGCTGAGCTTGCAACCTACTGAGTTGTGCAACTCCCATCAAGACCATAAACTAAACAGTTTAATGATTTCTAAATGGAAAGAAGTACACATGCCAAAGTATTAAGAGGTGGTCTAGTTGTAGCTGGAGGAAATAAAGGGGTCAATCAGTTGCAAATGTGCATCAGCAAAAAATTTTCTTAACAACTGACCAAATCCTGCCATATGATTAATGTGCAATCATTATCTCCAAGGCATATGGAAAGAAGTTTGAATAAAACTCCAAAGTAAACACAGATATTTCAACCCACCCTTGCATCTTGCTCCCCTAAAAAGTACTACAGGTGACAGGCCGAAATGGATTAAATAGAAATTAGACCACAAGTAGAGGGTAATTTACAGTTGCAGTAGTCTGCGTGTGAGCACATATATGTATACATGCAGAGTAACATTTTTTAGTAGGACAGCTTTCTAAAATCTGGGCAAAGAACTCAATCAACACTGGTGAATATTCACCTCTGAAGGGACTGTAATTTGAGACAAAGTCACAATTTAGTTTACCTGCTTATTATTTAAAATTAAGTCAAGTTATGAGGATGCAACAAAGAAAACATCTGCAAAATGTCAGATCAAATTGAAGTGTTATCCAGTACTGTATTTTTATATTCAAAATTCCTTTTAATCACTTAACTGACATTTTGGAGGGATGAAGCACTTAAAGGAGCAGAGAGAAGCATAATATTTTCTGCAGCTGTGTAGCTTATACCAGTTAGAACTAGAACAATGCAAAAAGCTAGTCTTCAACTCTCTGCTTGTATTTTAGGAACTGTCTTCCAATAGTATCAAACCTTTCCCCAGAACAGGAAAACGTGCTGGCAATGTTTTCTGGTCAAAGGCTTGAGGTCTTCCATGAGTTTTTATTAGGCATTTTATCCTCAGAGTACCCTCCTGGGTCAGGCAGTGGAACTGTGTACAGACCAGTCAATTTGAGCTCACTGTTTATAGAATTAATGTGACAGTAATGCAGAGAGCTCCCATTGAGAACCTTGTTTCTTCTACTATCTCTCACTCCCCTTCAGGGGAGAGAGCTTCTTCTGGTGAAATGGAAGCAAGGAGCTGGTGGAGCTGGCTATAGAGTGCTGATGCCATGATGAATTCTGCCCAGCTTGAATACACTACAGATTTCTCTATTGTATCCTGTTCCTTTCAGTAGGGTGTTCCAAGACACTTTGTAGGCTTCTAGCATGCAGTGCAAACTTTCCTAAACTTGCTAAGGCAGCTCAAAATGGCATTAAAATTCTTTCCAAAAAGAAGTGGAAGAAAATCTCACTGTTTTCTTCCATCAGACTGCTACACAGCAGGAGATGGGTCTCAGCTTGAAAGAGCAGAAGTAAGCAATCATTCTGGAGCTCATAGAAGTGACTTGGAAGAGTCCTCAAGTACTTCGTGCTAAGAGCAAACATGAAAGGTGGTATCACATAGAGCAACCTAAATATCAGATTGCAACAACAACAGGAAGACTGACACAGCATGTGACTAGATCTTGAGCAGAACTCCAGTTCTGGCTGTGTTAACTGCAGTATGGAACCATGTAGATTTCTCTTCTGATAAGATCACATGTAAGGAAGTGAAAGCCTGAGCACATACTCCTTGCAGTGATGTCTTATGGCAAAGGTGAGGAAGAGAAGGCATTATAGTAACAGGGAACTCTTCAGCCACACATGACACCAGTCTCCTCAACCTAGTCATGAACTGTTGACTATTTAAATAATGTAGAAACTTCTAGCACTTGGTGGTAAAGCAAGTTGGCCATTAACCACAGCAGAGGTAGAAATCAGAATAGCATCCACAAGCTGTTAAACATAGTATCCCATTTTAGAATGAGATTATGCATGCTCACTACAAAACAGCAGTTTTTCCAATAAAATTTTGAGTTTATTTTTCTTTTCTTGTTTGGTTTTTGTTTGGTTGGTTGGTTTGGTCTTGAGTTTTGTTTGGTTTGTTTTCTTTTCCTCTAGCCTCCCCCAAGAAACAGGGGAAAAAATACATTTTAATCTTAAGAAAAAAAACAACCCTTGTAGTATAAAATAGATTTTTTAACATACATTTGGACAAAATAATTTATTCCCACTAGAAGGCCATTTGTTTCAAAAGTATTGCAGTTTCTTTAATCTTGAGGCCCCAAATCACCCTCATTAAAGTCTCTTATTCAAGAGAGATATTGTTTGTTTCTATATTAGAAATGTAACATTGGCCTTTCACACAGCCTTTCATTTTGAAGTTATTTATTGTGTACAGCCTACTGACTAGAAGATGAAGTTCCTTTAGTTTGTTTATTCTCAGCTCAAATCAGATTGGTCTCCATAAATAGATGCTGTTTGAAACTCAGTTATTTGTGAGATCATTGTATGATGTTTTAAAAGCTATTTTGCCCTGAGACTATTTTGGTTTTATGTGAATAGAGCACGTCCTTTCTCCACATGCTTGTCATAGATACTTTTAAGTTCTCATGACATCTAGGAAAAGGAAGAGATCTGACCCAGAATGGCATTTCTATCATAAATGGTAATGATCTATTGAGATCTCTTTCTCTAATTCAGCCACTTCATAGTTCAGCTTCTTACTGCTTAACAAAAAAGACCAAACTTTCCTCAGCTCTGCACAGAAGGCTTCTATCAGAGTACTAGGTCTTACATATCCTGGAGGTAATTCTGAATTGTATATTTTATATAGGAGAGATGAAATAGCATTAGTTTAGCTTGGCATCAGTCACCTATTGGATTAACGTTATGCCAGAAAACCCATCTTGTCCATTTTCCATTAATTTATTGTTTTAATTTTCCATCTTTGCCGTGAATAATCAAAGTAAATCTTTCTGTATGCTTCCATTTCTCCTAGATATTGATGAATGTGCTGAAAATGTTTGTGCTCAACTCTGTGTAAACTCTCCAGGAAGTTATAGCTGCTACTGTGATGGCAAGAAAGGGTTCAAGCTCTCTAGGGACATGAAGAATTGTGAGGTAAAACTGCACTATGTAAAATTCCATACAGAAAATCAAAGTTGGATATTTCTTGATGACAGGATAAATTAGGTTATGAAAAATAGGAAGCTATTTGAGAACTGATTCAAAATTGCTGAGAAAGTGCTGGAGACTCTTTGAGTTGAGGTTTAGCTCACAAAGCAGACCCAGTTGGGATTTAAATGCCATTCAGCTCATGCATGCTCATTTACAGGAGTCCTGTCAAGACAAGCTTGCCTTAGCCCGTTGTCTTTATTCCCAGCTACTTCCACCTAAGTCCCAGCTTTCTCCTATCAAACCAATAATTCCTGTTCAGCTTGCTCAGAGTCAGAATACTCCATTTGTCCATATGTTCCCAGGTTTTCCTTCAACTGCGCAAGAATTTTCACTCACTTTTTCAGAATTACTCTATGCTTTGCCTGTTTGGCTTGAATAACATGGATTGTTTTTCACAGTTCTCATCTGCTGCAGCCTGAGAAAAAGCACTTGCCAAATGAAGAAAATCTTGCAGCCAATATTGGCCATTCTTGCTTGGTTTGAAAAGTTACACTTCTTAGTAAAAGATTTGAAACTCTGGAGAATCCCAATTCAAGGATTTTCTTGTGACTGGTCCTCTATATACTTTGAAGGGTTGAGGCAGGCTGGGACCTGTTATGCTAAGTGAGCTTAGATAACTGCCAACGGAAAACACCTCTGACAGTATAACAATATTTGGCTTAAAGTCTAGGAACAAGATTTGACAAGTTCTAGCATGTATTCAAATTGTTTGTGCTTTCTGAAATTTAATATGAGGACAACACTTTCAGTTATTGCATTTCATTTTCATGAGAAGTTATTAACTCTCTATCTGGAAGTTAGTTTCAGGGCTTCTAATTGGGAAAAAATAGTTTAATCAGCTGAAAATATGTGCAATCTGAAGACTAGTTACACTAGCGGGCATAAAATCAGGTAGTTATAAAGTTCAGGAGGAATACCTACAGATTTAATGAAACGGATGCATCATGAATACAGAAGTCAGAGTTTGGGAGCTGCATTAATTTTAACAAAGTACATGCGTACCTCTCTCCACATGCAGACCCTAATTCTCTGTACCTAGAAGAAATCTGAGTGTGTTACTTTTGAAGCAAAACTGTAGATATTGATTATATCATACTTCAGAACACAAAGAAGTAAACAATGCCTTAGAATGGATACCTGATGTTTTGTTTACTGAATGTTCTACTAGCTTAAGCTTACGCCACACAGGAAATAGACATTATTCCTGGATATAAACATATTTGTTTCAAATTTCAATTAGATGAATACCTAAGAGAACAGGCACCATTTTTCCCCCCTGTCATTGCAAGTGCAGTTGGCAGACTGTGATTGCTCACACTGACTGGGGTTAAAGCATTAGAATTTATCCCAGGTTTAAATACTGTTGTAGGCCTTCCAGTTGTCACAAATACTTTGAACTTCTTTTCCAGTTTTCCTGATTATGTGGTCTTAAGATCCTCATATCCCCACTAACAGTTATCAGAAATACTAATTCATTGTCATTTCAGCAGGGATTGTGGTGCTTATTTCATTGACATTCCTTTTCTAAGCAAGGAACAGCCATATAGAAACATTTTCTATTAATCAGTTATTTAATCCAATTGTAAATGGTTATTTTTTATTAGAGGTAAATTATTCTAGTAGTACTAGAGATTGTTCAGCTGTGACTTGACATAAATATTAATAAAGAAAATAAAAGGTGATTTATTTATGTTTAAATTAAATCTTCTCAAGGCACAGCTCTATCCCTGTTCCCTTCTAACATCCAATCAGGTTTAGATTCCAGACAACATTAATAATGGAGCCTGACAGGACCCTAGTACATGTGGGCCACAGTTTCCTAGTGAACGGAAGGTGCTGATGGAAGATTTGAATTCTTAATTCGAATACTGAATGTTTAAATATCAGTTGCAATCCACCAGAACTGTATTTTAACTGGAATTATTCTCTAACAGTTTCAGTGATGGACATTTCAAGCAAAATAAAAAAAATACCCCTTCATTTTTACATAGGTATTCAAGTTTAAAAAAAGAAAAAACCTTCAAAAACCCAGAGATAATGCATTGATTTAAAAAAAATAAGTAAATAAAAGACAAGCTGACAGCCAAGAAGAGGAGTTGCTTTCTGAACTATCACAGTGCATTAACAACTTTTTTTTTTCCTCCACCATTTGCAGTCTATTACTGAGTGTATCCCGCTACACCTTGAAAAGAATCATGAACTGCTTTATCTGGCAGAGCAATTTATAGGAATTCCTGTTCTGTATTTAAAGTTCAAATTGCCAAATGTCACAAGGTAAGCATTTGCTATTGATGCAAGTATGCATTGAAATTATGGACGTTTGTTTCCATTAATTTCCTGAGGGTTTAGAAAAAGTGCTTTGCATGAATAAATTGCATCACTGTCTCCCCACTGGTTAAGACCCCTTTGTATGGAGAAGGAATTAAGTCGGGTTCCTACATACACCAGCACTGAAAGGGAGCTGGAGTAATTTGAAAGTGCACATGCAAGGGTAACATGTCTGATGTCAGCTTACAGCATTTCTTATTGGTAGTACCATATCCTCGAGCAGCCACATCAGTATAGACAGCAACTCACTTACACAGCAAAACTTGAAGGTCAGCAAGTTTCTTCCGGATAGCTCAGAAGCAGGTGGGAGGCAGTAGCAGCTGTGTCTCAATCAGGGAACAGTGCACAGCTAGGGCAAGACATACACCATTGGCATTCAGATTTGATCATATCTATGGTCTAAGAGAGTTGGAGTCTTCCAGTCATTACAGTCCTGGTTACCTGTGCTGTTCCAGGGAGAGGTGTGTGGACTGGGAGAAAGTGTTCAATGAAATTCAAACTTGAATGGGCAAAAAAGGAAGAGGACTGAGGTCTGTAAGTTGAATAGTCAGCAGATCCCATTGGTTTGTGGACAAAAGAGCAAAAAGATTGCTGCTTCCTCATGACAGAAGCTTACTCTGAAGAGGAGGGTCTGGGAAAGATTTGAAATTGTGATACAGGTACAATAAGGCATTTAGAATTCTCAACATAAAATTCAGATATTATACCAAAATAGTAACTGTACATTTTCCAGTTATATATGGGAGTAGCTGGCATTTGGATGTTAGTGCTACTTCACCTCTGCTCTGGGTAGAAGCTGCCAGATGCTACGCTGAGAAACAAAAGCAGGCCAATGCTTCCCCCTACATCCCATGTTTCCTTTTACAGGGTGTTCCAAGGACACTAACAGAGCACAGTACCTTCTCTAGAGAGCCATCTGTATGATTTCCTTTGCACCTGTCAGAACAATAGCTAATGGTAAAGACCCCTTTACCACTCTTGGACATCTTCATTGCAGCAGCCAAAATTGCAACATTCCTTGACTGACTTACTGACCAAACAACTCGAGGGTAACAGCAACAGCAGCTGTTGAGCTGATAATCCCCAGAGGCTTATAGGACATAAAGCTTTTTCCTCTCCCCCTATTCCAAGCTGCTCAGGCAATAAAACTCTCCTGGAAGACCTTTCTAAGGTGATAAATGTTTGAAGCTATCTTAGTAGTCTCTGCGGAAATACACAATGATTTTTCTGTGGGCCTGCATGAGAGACAATGACATCTAGTGGACAAAGAACGAAACAGAGTGAAAGCAACTTGAGTTACTAAATTACCACTCTCGTATTTGTTTCTCTGTTGTCTTCAGCAAATCCTAACTTCCAAATTCTTTATTTTCTCCTTTCATGCTTAATCTATTTTATCCAGACCAAAAATTCTAGGCGACATGGACTGGTTTTTACTACACTTAAGCTCTCCCTCTTCCACTGTACAGATACTGTGATGTAAACCATAATTTTGCTACATATTCAACCAACTGCTAATCTCCAGACAACAAATCCTCAAATTAGAGTGACATATAAAAGGCAGCAGTAACCAAAGCAAATTACTAGGTTATAATTGCTGTAGGACAACAATTTGCAACCCTGTTGTACTGAAGCACATAATAGATCATGTATTTTTTCTGCATCACATCTCCACAAAATGAAACAGGAATATTACATCTATTTCTTACTCATGTGGGTGTGATATCCTTCCCATGCAAAAGTGATAGCAGATTTGAGAACTGAATGAAGACTCTTTCAATTCCCAGCTCAGAGCATTAATCTCAAAACTTTTCACTGGATTCAGATGAACAAGGCTTACATTAGATTCTCCTCTTGACTAATTGTGTGCAAATATCACACCTTCTCAAATACGGAGTTACCAAAAGGTTAGTATCTATGAACATTTATTATCTTGTTAATGAGTTTTCCTAGATTGTATGGTATTTCGTGTTTCCTGTCTTCTTATTAAAATTCTTTCTTCACAACTCAGATTTACAGCAGAATTTGATTTCCGGACATACGATGCAGAGGGAGTTATACTATATGCAGAATCCCTTGACAATACAGCATGGATCTTGCTTGCTCTTCGGGATGGGAAGATTGAAATTCAATTCAAGAATGAATTTGGAACTAAAGTCACAAGTGGAGGCAAAGCCATTAATGATGGACTGTGGCATATAGTAAGCTGGGTTTTCGTCTCCTCTTTCCTTCCTTTAACCCACTACAAGAACACTCTGTCTTGATAAGTAAAATAGGGAGAATCTAAGCAACTATTAAAAAGGCTTAAAATAATCCCTCAAATCTCAGATTTAAAAAACAAACAAAAAATGCACAGAATGCCTTACATCTGAGAAATCATGGCACCTCTTTACAATCGAGAAAGAGGTAATTACCACTAGCTGGCAACATAGGAAATATTGTTTGTCCTCATGAAAAAGGAAGCAGCAGTGTATTTTAAAGTGTGATTGCATGGTCAAGTGTGTAGTTACTAGATACTTTGTCTAGAGAACAAGTTTTATATTTGCTAGATCAGAAATCAGGAAATGCCTTGCTCACTTACACCATCTATAAATCACACCAAATTACTAACATCAATTAGATTTTGTTTGTTTGTTTCTAAAGGAGGGAAAGAGAAACTAGGATTCTGCACAAACCTACTGTTCCAGTTCAGTACAACTTACTTGAGATTAAAAGTCTACTTTGATGCCTAATAACATTGGGAGCATGTGCTGAACTTGTTTTGTCTATGTTCCGTCTGAAGATTCAATGCTCTGTAGCAGGTTGCAGTGACATGGAGAACTGTATGCCAAATGTGGATTGCATACAGAGCAATTGTAGAGATCTGCTTCTTGAAAACTCTGTATGCATAAAGCAAATTAACAAGCTGCATGTTTTTTCCCAAACATAGGATAGAGGTGGAATGGAAGTTCATCCTCCTGTGGTTGTCCATGGATATGCACAGTTGTCGTGATTTAAGTGTAAATATTCTGTAAATATTGACTGCTTTAAAACAACTGCATTAAATATCTACAAGTTAGATTTTTTAAGAAACATTAGTAAATCTTCATACAGGTACATGTAATTAGTATTTAAAATAGTTTACATAGTTGTGTATGTATGTATGTGATACTCTGTATTTCATTCTAGATATCAGTTGAAGAACTAGAACACAGCATCAGTGTAAAAATAGCTAAGGAAGCCGTGATGAGTATTAACAGCCCAGGAACTCTTTTTAAGCAATCACAAGGTTTCTTGGAAACTAAAGTGTACATTGCAGGATTACCTCGCAAAGTGGGCAACACTCTTGTTAAGCAGGTAACTAAAATAATGAGTAGTATTGAATAATACCATTCCATTATTTGTTTGGTTTTGTATTGTTTACTTAGTAGTCACAGTAAGGAAGGGTGGCATGGGACTGATTTAGAAAATGAAAATAAAGTTATTAAACCACTGTTCTGAAAATAAACATGTGTGAAGCTGTTTAGTCTGTCTGCAGTCAAGTTTAAGTTATAAACATAATTTTTTATAAACACAGCACTTACAGTCTAATATTAATTTCAGAAGTCTGTAGCCTGCTTCCTAACATATCTTTAAGATTCACTAGATAATGCAAGACCATTTCAGAGTGATTCATATTTCTGGTGCTGGCTTTTGTCAGTTATACTGGGCAGACAACACAGTGAGCTTTCATTTCTACTAGGTTTTGTAATAGTCCAGGTGGGAAAAGGCTCTTGATTCTTTCTTTTTCCATCCTTGATAGCTCTGTCTTATGCTGGAGATGGGTACAGTCAAGTTGTTACAACTGTCTGCTTCTCAGTTCAGGAGTTCTCAAACTGACAGTTGGTATAAACAGAGAGGCAGAAAGTAACTCTACAATAGAGGCAATTTCTGCTCAAAAGTGAAGAAGAGACAATAAATATGATGCAATACAACAACATCCTCTCAATAGAAAGTAATTCCAGAAATTTCTTTGTACTTTGGTACAAGGAGAAATGAAACCTTGAACAAGGAACAGTGCTAATGATCAGTGTCTTTCAGCTGCAGAACAGCTGTTGTGATCTAAAGGACAGTGCAAGCTTTAAAAATTGAAGCAATCTCTTTTGTCCAGATCACTAGCATGAAAATGGGAAATGTTAATAAATCAGAAAAACCTTTTGAGGGTTAAGTACTAAAAGCTTGCCATTTGTTTTCTCCCACCACCAGCACTGTAGCCTATAGCATTGATAAAGCTTTTACTACCCAGAAATAAGTTAATATGTAAAGTAATGCCTTATTATTGATATTTTAAAACCAACTGTGAATGTAACACCTAGTGCTGTTATTCTTTTACAGATAAACCCTCGGCTAGATGGATGCATTCGTGCCTGGAACCTGATGAATCAGGGCCATTCAGGTGTAAAAGAAGTTATTCAAGAAAAGGAGAGTAAACACTGTTTAGTATCAGTGGGAAGAGGATCCTTCTACCCTGGCACTGGAATGGCAAAGTTTCAGATAAACTACAGTAAGTATTTTTCTGTCTATTACTATATTTTTTGCTGGACCAGTGATGGAGCCAATTGTTGAAATAAACACACAGTTATACGCTACTGCATCCAGCAGTGATTCCTGTAGCGTCTGTTAGAGATTTTCTTGAATGAGAATTCTGATCCCATTGGTGTCACCCATATAATACTCAAAGTGCTTTAGGTTAGGAAGCATATTCTTTACTTGCAAAGGATAGGCAGTGTTGAACACTAACTTTCCAAAGATCTAATTCTCTCCCCTGTTTATCACTGGGGAAAGTTATCATTCTATTGGCAGAAAAAGAAGATTGGGAATGGAGAAAATGATCACTCATAGTTTTGTCTATGTAGTTCTGCATCCTGTGTACAGGTTTTAGGTGTATCTCTTGCTCCTTCCTGAACCCAGAACTTTCTTGCCTGAGATCTCCTGATCTCCTTGTGCACACTTGAGACCAGAAAGAGACATCTCAAGTGCCATCCCAAATCCTCTTGTCATTATACTCTTCCTCATCCTTAATGTTATGCTATGCTTCAATGCTGCTCTAATCCCTAGTCCTTTTCATCCCAGGACTTGCTATTCTTTCCCAGGCCTTTTCTTTATGTTCCCTAGCACATGTAAAAAGATTTCTCTGGCTTTTTATATTCTATGCTTCCTGCCAACTTGTATCAGGGCTTCCCTATGTCACTCAACTTTCCTCCCATTCATCCACTAAAACTGTGCTGCCATGACTCCTCCTGAGCTTTGTGTTTAAGGCTGTTGTCATGACTTTGCCCTCTCCTTTCTGTTCTCACTCCCCACACCCCTCAGATGTTGCCCACACCTGCTGCTGCTCTTCTGCTGTTATTGCTACTTCTGCTTCTGCTGTTACAGCCCACTGTCTACCAGCTCACTTAGCTTTGTGTAGAAATATAACCTCACTTCATATTCTACAATTTCTGCTTCCTGAAGAAATGACTGGAAATCGAGAAACTAGTAGATTTGACTGGAAGAGATACTGGAATAAAAGATACAAAAATGACAAATATGTCTTTAAATAGTAATTTTTTATTAGGTTCACTATGAACGCATCATATGAAATTATATTTGCATCATCTGCACCTTTACGTACCTGCATGTTCCCATTTTAATAGGAACTGCTTTGGACTGTAAAAGTGTATGAGAACTGCCAGTTTTCTACTCAGTGGCAACAATTTAGGAGTAAATTGCTTTTTTGGGTTCAATATTGAACTGACTGCTAATGAATGTGGCACCTCTTCCACATCAGAATGAAGAAAGCAGCAAAAGTAAAAAATAATAAGAAAATAATTAAAAAGTAGTTGAATAAGCACAGCAGATTAGGGAATATTTTGTTGTTTGTTTTTTTTTTTAGTTTTGTTTTCTTTGAGGTTTCTTCGGTTGTTTTTTAGACTTACTTTTTTGGACTTCTTTCTAAAAGTTTCAAATTTCACTTGTTTTTTTCTGGACATTAGTACTGGTTTTTTTTCCACAGTGAGAGCAGATTATATACTAATTTTTAACACCATATTAATTTTTCATTAACAGGAATGGATGGATTTATTAATTTCAATTATTCTTTTTAAAACAGATAATCTTGACAGTGCTGAAGATTGGCTAATAAATGTGACTATGACTATTCGCCCATCCACAGACACTGGTGTTATGTTTGCCTTGGTTTCTAATGAAACAGTGCCTCTTGCTTTGTCCATAATGGACTCTAACTCCTCTGACTCACAGGTGATCTTATAATTATCTTAGGAGCTGTTACGCATATAAGTCACACCTCTTGTTTTTGTCTCACTTAACTTACTACTCCATTTGTGAAAAATCAAATTGAAAAACCCACTTATTTGCATATACTCACACTTGTTTGCAGTGGAGCTGGTAGGCTGAATTAATATTTTGAAAAGCATGTAGATCATATAGTGAGAAATATACAGAAAAAATACTACTGTTAAGGATTGCTACAGCAGTGGCTAAGCACTAAGCACTCTTCTGTCAAGTACTATCTACTCCATCATGTCTTTAAGTTTTCCTTCCAAAAGCACAAAGCAGAAAGGATTATGACAGAAGTAGAATGATGTTATTATAGTAATGGTATCATGATAATTTCCAGATATTTTTGTCCTTAAATTTCCATTTACATCTATTTACATCAAGCATACCAAGATAGAGCGTGATTATACACGATTGCTAATCCATGCTTTTGCCATAAATACAAACATATAGGGAACACTTGGTTACCTTAGAAAATGTAGCAGTACTCCTTTTGCCTTTAAGAGAAAAAGGATTTCATCTTGGAATCATAGCCAAAAATATTTTTTTAAAATAAATTTTCTCACGTAAACAATTTAAGAATACAAATAATTGACATTTATCAACAAGGTTATGTTTATACATCAGCTTTAGTAACTTTTCCAACTTTAGGTACTATTTTTAAGATTTGGCTCTAACATATTCTTTTCTTCTACTTCCAAATATAAAATGCATCATAACTAAGTATCATTGTATGTTAAAGTCCTGTGTGACATCTTTTGTGACCTACCATTCTTCCATTTAGAAAATCATTGTGACCATTGGAAACATCATTGTTGCACATCTGGAATCAAAGAAGTTATGTACACCCAGAAAAGTGCTGGTTGGACTTCTAGTAACCAAACAGCAACTTGAGCTGTCAGTTGATTCACACACAGACAGAAGCAATTCAGAGCAACTCTCTGTCCTGCATCAAGCAATGATGGCGAGTGTTGTTACCTACTTGGGCGGCCTGCCAGGTGAATTATATTTCTTTTCATTAATTTTATTATTTGTACAAGCCTGATTATATTGAGCCTTATCCAAGCTAGGAAAAACCTACAACGCTACCGAAAGAAACAAGTATTTTCCCAGAGTGTTTCTTGTTTCATCCAATCTATTCAACTTTTGAGGAAGCCTGCTTTTCAACAGCAGCATTATTAGGCCCATTGAAAGGCATCAGTCTTTAGGAATTTGAACTTGGAAAACGGGAGGAGTGAGCATAGCATGTTTCTGAAGTGCCACCAGCAGGCTCCATTTAGGAACTGCATCAAGCACATAAGAAACCAGGCATTTTAAAGTAAACGGTTAGACCTGCAGAAGAAGGCAGGAATATGGTTTCAACAATTAAACAAACTGTGGCCAATGGATGACTGGCAAAAATGTATTGAAACAGCAAATCCTTTGTTTAAAGCAATCTGCAAGTGTATCCCCAGCCTTAAGACATGTACAAGCATTGTTTTGTACAGGAAGTGTACACATTCTTATTAAATAGTTTGACTTCAGGGTGTATCATGAAGAAAAAATAGCATGGCCACACATGAAGATTTTTCAAAACCTAAGATCCTCAGTCTCAAAAACTGGTAGGGGAACAGTTTTCCTATTGGCAGGACTTTTCTGTATCCTCTCTTAAAGGTATTTTAGGGAGAGTAAGCCACAATTCCTGAAGAAATCAGAGAAGTTTGACCAACACAGTCTTGAAGTGCCACCCACTTTCCATGCAGGCTGTAGCGTCATAGCACTGCTCCAGATACAGCTGGTCTTTAGCTGTGGTGTGTTTCTTCTGTACAAGACAGAGGTGCACAGCCGTAGAAAGAGGGGAGGAACTCTGCATCCTTTGGAGATGGTCTCTTTAAGCATTTCTTCCAAAACAGCATATACAGGAAAAGTTGGAATTATGGTGCTACCCTCCAGACTTGCTTGTCAAAATAGAAGCCAGGTGTTCAGGGCTGCACTGCAGGTACTGCAGCCTGTGTCTGAAATGACAGTTGCCTCAGCATCCAAGACCCTAGGTTGCTATTTACTTGTTCTCTGCAAGTCTTCATACACTGTTAACCAGGGAGGTAACATGATTTAGGCACCAAATTTGACAATTTCTCCTACAATTTTATTTTTAATGGATATACAATATCTGGGAAACCAGGTAACCAGGTGAGTTCAATTCAAATTGAATGCATAGAATGAGAAGAATGCACTAATGGTGTGTAGTACCTTCACATACCATAATAGGTAAGCATCAGCATTTTTGTAATACTAGCTCCCTTTTAAAATAAAGGAGATTAAGTCAATATTTACTTAGTAGAGGTGAGTCAGTAGGTTAACTGAGACATTGTAACTTAACTAAGATTCTGATCATTTCTTAGACCTCTTTGTCTTCATGATATTTAAGGGATTCTTTCTACTACATTGCCAGCCACAAAATTGGCAACCTAAGAGCTAATACCTTGACTTCAGTTATGCATCCCAAATAGATAAGAAGCAAATGTTATTTACTTGCTGCTCCCTAGAAGTGCAATCTCTCTTTCATAAGGTATCTTCGGCTTTCAAATTAACAGAAAAACTCTGCATGTATAAACAGTTTGTACTTAGAAGTCTCAAAAAAGCAACAAAACCCCCACGTTATCCAAAGGAGCCCGTTTCACAACATCCTCTGTTACCAAAGAGAGAAATTAAGAGGAAAACTAATTTAGGTCTCCAAATACATCCAGTTTGGCTACACTGATTCATTTACTTATTCTGACTCACCTCTGAAAAATCTTTGTGATTACTGAGTAGTATAAAAAGGTAGGTAAGGACCCCCACACTGAGCCTACAGTGCAGAGAACTGTATAGTTAATGGCACCTAACAAAAATATGCATTTCATGAAGACCAGAAGTCCTCATTTTCATACACATTCCTTCACACTAGTAACAGCATTGGGAGTATGCTGCTTGTTAATTAATTCAACACAGCCATTGCAGGCTAAATGAGACTTGTACTTTCTATGACAACAGTGTTACCACTGGAGCAGAAAGGCACAATTCTGCAGGACTGTTTGTGCAGTGCCTCAGCTTACAGCAAAATAAAATTACAAGGAGGCAACATTTCTTGTTCTCCAGACCACCAAGTCTTTTTTCTAAGAGCGACAAGATGATAAACATCTGAAAAAAAAAAAATAATAAAAAAAAATCTTACGATCGGTTTCTAGGCATCCTCTACTAGTTGCTTGAAGGTACTTGGATAACCTTAGGTCTGTCTTTTAAGAGCATAGTTGTACTCCAAGGCCTCTGAGTAATGCCTGCTTGATTTTGGGCTTAACATACTGCTTCCTGGAAGCATATCCATGATCTGATGTTGCCATAACCCAAAACATACCTAAATGAGCAACAGAGCAAGTAAGTCTTTCACAGAGAATTAACTGGGAAGAAGGCATAAGGAAGCAGTAAAATGTTTGGAGTTCCCAGGGGTCCCCTATCTGAGAACTTGCAGTTTTTAATCCAGAGTACCTTTCTGGCAGAAGTAAGGTGGTTCTTTCTGTGACCTCTAAACCTGTGAACATCTGTTTGTAGGTCAAGACAAGAACAGTGGACTCCAGGAAAAAAAACTATCAGTTCACAGTTGTTAATACAGGAAAGGCTACTATGAAAACCATTCACACAGTTAGGTTTTTTTGGATGGGAGGAGACTTCTAATGAGTATTTCAAGTTTTAGTGACCTTTCTTAGCTTTCCTGACTTTACTACAATCTTAAAGAAAAGGGAGAAAAACTGAAATATTTCCTGCCAATTTGCTTTTTTCTCCCATGGATGACTAATGGTTGGGGAATGGAGTGTTACCCATGTTTTTGCTAATCTGAAAAACACGTAAGAATTTGCATGACTTGGCCTAATAAATTGAATGTGTTTCTGTGCAGATGTTCCTTCAGGTGCTACGTTAGTAACTGCTTTTTATAATGGCTGCATGGAGGTGAAGGTCAACAACAGACAGCTGGATCTGGATGAAGCCATTTCTAAACACAATGACATTAGATCTCACTCATGCCCACTGATTCTGCAGTAACTATTCCATTCTTAATTTAACATTTTTCTTTCAGATACAGGTTGTTTCATTAGTGTCATGCCATAGTGAAGTCTGTATTATTTTATTCAAGATGTACCAGGAAAATAATCAACAGCATGTTTTTCCTCCCTTTTATATACAATGGAGGGGGGGAAATGCCCTCTCTTTTCAGCTATAAAGAGACAATCAAGATCAAAATTCTGTAAAATATTATTTTATTGCTATCAGTGATAGATCTTAAAGCTAGATTTATATTCCATGCTCATGCTATGTCCATTATATACTTAGTTTGCAGAGCAGGTTCAGGAAGCTCTGTTTATAACCAATTTTACTTCTTATTTTCCATATATCAGCATAAAGTTACAAGTTGAAAATTTTGATAAGGTATTCAAAACAAAACAATTTTCATTAAACTTTTCCAAGTATTACATACAAAAAGAAATCTCTACAGGTTTTGTATGTGCTTTTGGTAACAGAAAAAATACCCTGGAATCCAGAGCCCAAGCTCTCTGTGAAAATGTTTACAAGTTCTACCAATATTGGGAAAGCAACTTCAAAACTCAGCTTTTTTTTATGTAACTCAGCTTTTGAAGATAGCCCTTGTTACAGTTTTTGTACCAGCTTTAATTCTTCTATCTTAGGAACCCAGCTTTAGACTTTTAACAGTGTTGTGGATCAGGTCAGGTGATTTACTTTCAAAGTGGGTTAAAATATACCCCAGGCACTTATGGAAAGCAGAAGAGATGGCATGAAGGAAGGAGCTCTGGGATTCATCAAAAGGACATCAAAACTGGAATTTTCTAAGTAAAGCTGAGAAATGGCAGCAAACATTTCTTCCATTCATGACAGATCTAGCACTCTTCAATAAGAGCACCCTCTCATGGTCCATCATATTCCCTTTATTGAAGTCCACCTTGCTTTCACAGAGCCCCTGAAGAGATGTATTTATGAGCCCTGTGTTTCTGATGTGCTTGAAAGCTTAAATTTTGCTTGTAACATCAGAATGTAAATCCATATTCTGCTCAGCGAACTTTAATGGATCAGGTAATTTGAAAAGTATTATTTTCCTCAGGTGTGTTTATTTTGAGCATTTCTAATATTTCTCTAACATCATTGGAGTGTTCTTTCTATTTCCAATCTCATTTTCACACAACCAGAAGCCTCCCTGTGCAGCTCACCTAGTGGTTCTGTTAACCCCAAACCAAATAAATAGCAAGAGAATTGCTGTAAGCGATGAATGGATGCTCTCATCCATCAGCCAGAGAGACATTTATCTGCAAGAATTCTTGACCTAAGGTTTGCTTTCTTCACTTGAGACTTTGAAGTGGAAATGTATGTACTAAAGGATGGATTGTGACAATACTGATTTTGAGGATTGCCTTTCTCCAGAGATATTCCCAATGGCATTAGTGAGGTTTCTTTCATTGTTGAGTACTAACTTTAGAATGTCAGTATTGCAGGATCTGAGCCCATCTTTCAACATTATTGGTTTGCCTGAGGTTACTCTAAACTTTACTTCCCACTTACGTCATGTAATACAGGATTTGTCCTGACTTTCACACCAGGCAGCCTCAGTGCAGTCTCTGAATCTGTCTAGCACTGGTTCATAGGTAGCTACTTATCAGCAGGAATACTGTAGGGCTGACACCCAAGGGCTCATTGCCAGTGAACAACTAGTTCACTTTTCTAGGATGGCATGTAAAAAAAGTTTTGATTTCTTCAGATGCTGTGGAGGGTAAGTAACTGCAGGAAAGCATCCCCTCCTGCTCTCCTCCCATCCTAACGTACACATTCTTCATTTGGACCCAAGTTGAATATTAACTTGACTAAAATAAGCAGGATTTCCTTGCAAGACAGAACCAAACTGGGACTTCTGACATCAAATACGTGTGATTACTTCATTTAATAGCATTCTTAGCACCCACTGAATTTTGGCAAGCCCTTGAGTCAGCTTCTTTGCCTTGTACAACAAATGCAGAAATTATTAGATACGGAACACAAAGTACCAGCAATACTATAAATACTTATGTTGGCCTGTGTGAACAGGTGAAGAAAAGGCTTGTTTGGGGGGGTTTTGTTAGGTTTTTTTGCTTAAGTGTAATAAACAGTATATAGGTGAAATTAAGTGATTTTTGTTTTCTTTGATTTTCCCACAAAAACACTGTTCCTTTTTGGTTCCATGGAGTAAATTTTTAGAGTACTGTAGTTATAATGAAACTTCTGCACTTTTTTTTTATGATGTAAAAGTGCCTCCCTGTTGTAAAAATTAAATAAAGCACCATTTGCAAGTTTCTTTTAAGTTGTATTTACATATCCTTGTTCATTGTCACTGTACAAGACTTCTTCGAGTGGTCAGATGGCTTACTCATGAAATTGTGGTCATCTTCAGTATCAAAGAGCATTGGTTATCTAAATAGGCATCCATATACTCTAGATATTTTTTTTAAGTTTAATACTGATTTAATATTGCCTGAGGAAATTAAGCTTTGCTTAAAACTACATTTGGAAGAAATTAGATCACTGAAAGTTAGTGATTCCTATCTCTTCTCCTTTATCAGATGTATTTCATTGTATTGTATGCATAATCATTTCAGCAAGGGCTGTTCAGTTTTTATACAGAACAGCTGGACCAGCTCTGTGCTTTTTCACCTCCTTTGCACCAAGTGTTACTAATCAGTATGTCCTAATTTCCTTGAAAATGAAATCTAGTAATGGAATTCGTTCTCATTTATACCAGAGCAACTTTCTGCTTATATGCCTGGCCTAAGCTTACTTTACATGCCTTAATGCCTGCGTGTCTCCCGGTAGAGATGACTGGCTAGATTGTATGCAAACACCTTCACTATTGATACTGAAGCTTAACTCTAGAGCTGTCAAAGAAAGAGAAGCCAAACTAATTTTAATTAATTTTTCTAGTCCTGCTTATCACTGAACGGTGATGCACTGATGTTGGTTCTATGATGTCATTAGTCATATGTATGTGCTTAATATTTTACTGTTTCAGCAACTTTGTTATAGCAGAACAATCACTCTGATTTGGGAGCAATTTTATGTTTCATCTGCCAAAAAGAACAGTTATGTACCAAAAATATTAGATACAGGGAAAACCATAAGAGCTAATACCAAAGTAGTAAGGCAAGCAGCCCTTTATGAATCAAAAAAGAACTGAGATACTCTGACTCTGGTTTTGTCACACCTTCCTTTCCTGACCAGAGTCTTGTAGCAGCAGTACAGAGCTAAATGACCTTGGTTCCTGTCATTTTAGATACCTTATTGCCTGACATGTTAGTGCAAAAGTTCATCCAACAAGATGGAAATACTGGTGTACTGTCACTGGAAATCAAAAGGAACGTTTACCAAAACTGCCATCCAAACTACCTACGAAAACTTCACAGTGACAGGGTTTACTATTTATGTTTTTAAAAAGACTTCCTACCGACAAATTGACTGTTGTTACACTGGGCATATCCTTTTGCTCTAAGGGTAGTTACATTTCAACAGGAATATGTGAATAAACAGCTAAATCATATGCTGGTTCTAAATAAGGGAGCTGGCATGTTGCTTATAAACACTTGTATTGACTCAATCAAGTGCCTGGAAATCTACACAGCTGTATGTAATTGAGGACTAATTATGTTCCTTTTCTAAAAAAACCTTCATTTTTTATTTTATTTTTTTTTTTAATTTTGAGGAATTTTTAGCATCTCGGCAAATTAACAAAGTGGAAAAAAAACGAGTAATAAGAAGGCAGAATCATGCAACACAGGCTTGTGGAGCCATATTTACCCCTCTCCCCTTGTTGTTCAGGAAGATGACCATGGGAAATGAAACAACATATGAAGCAAACAGCACATGCCACACAGACACCCTTCCCATAAACAGCTTGGTGCATTTTGGGAAACTCGGACACATGCAAAATACTTCAAATGAAGACTGGTGGTGTAATTAATGTTTTCTTACACTAACATAAAAGCATCCTATGCAGCAATCTGTGACAGGAGATTTTTCAAAGCAGAGTGGTGATTTCTTTCTTCTGCCTCTTGATTTTTGAAGCACCGAAAAGGCAGAAACCCAGTCCACCCTGGTGTTCTGGTTTCTATGCAGTCTAGCTGAGCACTTGGGGGAGAAGAAACACACACAAAAAAGCCCACCAAAAAGACCTCTAACAAAAAATCCCAACCACAAAACAACACACCAAAAACCACAAGGCATTTTGGTCCAACGGATCATTTTACCTCCTTTTCTCTCTTTTCCACTCTACTCCCCTCCAAACACATAAACACCTCTTTCCAAAAACTAGCTCTCTTTTTAACCTCATTTGGCAATTTTAGATCATGCAGCATGGCAACAGTTGACTCAAAAGTCAGAACTGTGTCAACCCCTCCCCAGGGGCAGCTTTACGGCTGCATGTGTTTGAACAAGCACACTTGCGCATAAACCAGAGCTTAAATAACGACTCCAGGTTGCCCTTGATTATCTGTCATCAGAAGGATAACTCAAAACACAGAAAGTTCAGGACTCTCATTTGTGATTCCAGACCTGCTATGGATTGTCTCTTGCTTACTTTTCCTCATAAGCAAAACAGTGTCTTGCAGCACTTCTGAAAGTCTTAACTTACTTCTGCAATTCTTAACATTTCCATGGGTTTTTTTTTTTTTTCTTAATGCTCACTAAAAACCTGCATTTTCCTTCCCTCTCACCCCCCAGTTCAGAATTGAATAAAACACAATACTCTGCAGTTTAAAAAAGCCACGTAATTAACTTTTCTAGATACAGGGCCAGAATTGGCCTCATTCTTCCCTGATCTGGCCAGGCTTCCTCTGTGAAGTCCCATCACAACACTCATGGAGAAGCTCATGCTAACAGCAATGCTGACACCCAGCATCAGTAAAGCAAAGAGGTGGTGAGGGCCACAGGACTGGAGAGCAATATTGCTGGAACTTACTAATGTTTTTATTTATGATACCATAAATAATGTGTTAATTAAAGGCAAGGCCTTAATTAGTAGGACATAACAAGATCACTGGAAGACATGTTGTTACATGTGAATTGTAGTAAGTTTTGGGTAACACAGAAGATACAGAAAAAAAAATAATTTTGCTTAAAACAATCCCCAAGAAAGAACAGTTTCTGTATAAAACAGTCAGTATTTCTGGTTGCCATTCAGCAGTAGCTTATCTTTCCAGGGAAGATTTGTCCCCTTCTTCAAGTTCTGGTATGATTTTCATCAACCAAAACTCTGTGTT